ACAACATCCTCAACCTGAAAACGCGGAGCCGCGACGGCTGTCAGACCGATGAACCGGCCCCGGCGACGTGGAGGGAAAGTTTGGCCGGGGAGGAGAAGAGATCCGGGCGGGGACCGGAACCGGACGGCAGACCGACCGAAAGAGGTAGGACGAGACAGCCGTTGGTCTTCAACGGTCCTCTGTGTCCGTGTAGGGGGGCTTTAGTTTGATAGTTCGATAGTTTATATTCACAGCCGTTAGTGAACGGTTGGTAAACGGTCTTCTGTGTTCATTTTGGGGGGGCTTTAGTTTGATAGTTCGATAGTTAATATTCACAGCCGTTGGTGAACGGTTGGTAAACGGTCTTCTGTGTGCTAATTTGGGGGGTTTAGTTTGATAGTTTGACAGTTTTTAGGCCGTAAAAAAGGGGAGAACTAACGTCTGACCCCTGAACCGGGGGTTGTTGCTACCGTTCCAGAGCTGCTCTCAAACCGGGGCCGAGAATCGGAGTCCGTGGCCGGCTGCGGGGCCCAGAGGAAGGCCGGGGAGGAGCCCTCCGAGAGCGGGGACAGTAGCGGCGACGAGAGCCGATCCTCCGCTACCGCCGCCGGGTCGGAGCCCCACGGAGGAGGCTGCGGAAGCCCGGTCAAAAAGAGCAAAGCCGTGGCGAAGAAAAAGACCCGCACCATTTTCTCCAAGAGACAGATCTTCCAGCTGGAGTCCACCTTCGACATGAAGCGGTACCTGAGCAGCGCGGAGCGGGCCTGCCTGGCCGGCTCCCTGCAGCTGACGGAGACCCAGGTCAAGATCTGGTTCCAGAACCGGAGGAATAAGCTCAAGAGGCAGATCTCCACCGAGCTGGACGGGCCCGCGGCGGACTTCCCGGAGGCCGTGAAGCCCGTGGCGGCGGTGGTGGGCCCGCTCCCGGGCCTGTACAAGGAGGGGAACCTGCTGGGGAGGTGCCTGCTCCCCATGCCGCTGCCCGTGGTTTACCCGGGCAGCAGCACGCCTTACCTCTGCTTCCCCAACGCCGCCAAGTACTTCAGCCTGTACGACGGGGACGGATGACGGCTGTAAGCCCCAAAACAGACACCTTTTCCTCCTAAAAAAGACACCTTTTACCCCCCCAAAACAGACACCTGTCCCCCCCAAAAACAGACACTCCGAGGGGGGTTCGTTGCCAAGTTTTCTCCCCCCAATCCAGCTCCCTCTCCCCGGCATCTAATGCGTCTAAAGGCGAGGTCGGTCCGGATTAAAGTTTTTATTTTTATTTTTTATTTTTTATTTTTACCAGACCGTCTGGTGGGGGGGAGAAGTAGTTTCATATCACACCAGTATAACTCGGCATTATTTATTTGCAGGCCTGACACGGTTTAGAGGAAATAGCCGTCAGGAAAACAGTATCATTTATAGCATCTTTTTGTTTACGTTGTATTAGTATTTTTTATTATTATTGACAAGGTTTCCAGCAGCCAAAGCCACCAAAGA